ACCTCCCAACCCTATTTAATTCGTTTCCCAGCCGACGTCGATCTCAAGACCCAACACCACTGACGCCACTCCTCCACCGAGAAGAAGCACAGTGTCGGAAAGACCCAAATCATATCTATCACCGATTAGATTTGCCGTTTTGACAGGCCTGAAATACCTCTTGTCAATCACTATATGGTCCTTCCAATTCAACCCAACGTAGCCACCACGTAGTCGTCGGGGCTCTCCTGCTGTAGCATCATTCACATCGCCTCCAGAAGCTTAGCTTCTCCAGGCCTGCTCACTGCCATCACCTTCCTAGCCGTGCACATCCATCATCGCCATCAATCATCGCTGCCATAACACGGCGAGCCGCCGTCTTCATCACGGCTGAGTTCAGTTCAGCCGATTCCACCGCCCTTGCTTATAACCGCCGTGAGATCTCGTTGGCCGCCCGCCCATTGTCGGATCCATCGCCGCCGGTTGGTTCTTCTCCATCCACCGATCTTCTTCTTCACGGCCAAGTTTCAAAGCAGCATCCTCTTCACCCACCTTCGCCACAAACCACCAGCCGAGCCCATCTCCTCCGGCGTCCACGACCGAGTCCGTCTCCTCCGGCGTCCACAGCCGAGCCCGTCTCCACCGGCGTCCACGGCCGAGCCCATCTACACCGGCCGAACCAGCCCGTCGTTGCATCACCATCAGTCCAGTCGAGCTTCATCACAGCCAAAGCCACCGCTGAACCAATCAAGCTTCATCACCGAAATGGGAGAGTAGCGTCGGCAGGAGGAGACGATAGTGTAGAGGAGACCTGAGAGGACGCCGGCGTTGATTCCGTCGGATCTCCACAACTCTGATCCACCGGAGGTGTTAAGGGTGGGGTGGCAGTTGAATATATATATATATATATGGGTCTTTTTGTCATTTAAGATTATATATATTTTGTATTAAAAAAATTGAGAGTAAAATAGTCAATTCACATGTATCAGATGCTAAAAAGTAAATTGGGTGTCAGTGAAAGTTAAAACCAAAATTCTAGCTGAAAAATGACCTAACCTCAAGAGGTCTAAGTGAAATTTACCTTTATTTTTATAATCTTACAATAATATTATAAGTTTTAAATTTAACAATTAACTTATAAAGATAATTTTGTCATTTTATACTGATTTGGGGGCAATTTGATAATTTTGATGACCTTTTATAATCTAGAGGGTGTTTAATTTTTATGAGGACTTTTTGGATGAAAATGATAGTTGCAAGGGGTTTTTGTAATTTTTCCCCTTATTTTATTCTATCCTAAAATTTCGTTTTACCTATAAATCTTTTAAAATAATCTGCCTTATTGTTAAAAATAAGAAATTTTAAAATAAAAGGTTGACGTATCCTCAATAAAATATAAATCTTTTCAAATATTCTTATATTACTAATGGAAACGATGAGCATTTGAAACACAAATACACATGTTCACTCTAGCGTTCACATAGCAACCAGTTAACTAACAACTTTTTTCAAAATCTAGATGCTGAATACTGTGTTGAACAAATAATTTAAAATTTACTACCATATATTTGAAAAAAATAAGTGTGTAACATTCTTATCTGTTTTTTTTTTTTTTTTTTTTTTTTTTTTTTTTAAAATGTCTCAATCTTTGCAATTTATTTTCCTGAATAACCCTAATATTAGGTTTGGTACAAATAATATAATGAAGCTAAAACTAAATATGTTTACAAAAGAACAATGAAACAAACTTTGAATTAACAAAGCTTAGGCAAGAGAACTCTAAAATTTTTATGTACATTGAATTGTATATTTGGACCAATCACGTTCTGACATATAAATAAATGTTTTGTATCTCACTTTTTGCTTATGAGTTGAGATGTGATTGGCCGGGATTATATAAATAATTTTTTCATAAGATCACGCACTTAGCTACCGTACTCTTGAACGTCAAAGTTAAAATAAAAAAATAACAAATTTACTGCCCGGATCTTTTATAATTGTAGAATCAAAAAGGATCATATGTGACTAGTCTTACCTCAACACGCAAAAAGGCCCGTGCGCACGTTCCATGACAAAGCGAGACCCAAATTTATGGCTGGCAACATTGGATGGATTTTTTTTTGGACGCCAAGCAAATAATATTAATAAGTAAAGTATTTGCATTGGGCTTCAGCTGTTGCTGAACAGACTATTACATAAGGAACGGCCCAATAGGCCCAAACAAGCATCTTGCATGAGACATACAACCGAAGAGGATGGTGGTGGACCCATCTATTGACATGTAAATAACTGTTACTTACCCGAGAAAATAAAATAATAAAATAAATAAAAATTGGACTGCAGGGTGCGATCTGTAATTATAAAGAAAATGATTTAGAGTGTGAGAGTAGAATAAATTTGAAAAAATCAGTGTAATTGGGGGCGTGTCCTTTCAACTTATCGGATCGTCACACTCTTTATCAACAATATAGTTAAAAAATAATTATAGTCCACTTTTATTTCCATTAAACAGGTTTTACACATGCTAGATGGTTGAGTACCCCTAAAGAAAGTGTACATGATTAAATATGTCCATGCCATACAAGTGAGCAGAATTAACATTGTAACATCTAACATATTTTCTCATACTTCCTTTATTTTTCTTTCTTCTTTCTTTTAATTTTACCAATTTCAAAACCTTGATTTAGAACTTGAAAGTTAAGATTCAAAATTAGTAGGACAGGAGAAGATGTTTGGTGCACCGGGTGCACTGTACACCGACTCAGATGAGCCGTACGCGCACAACACGTATGGCTCAGATGAGCCCAGTATACGATGCGTCAGGTGCCCCAAATACCTTCTCCTAGGACATAGGTAGACTAATATATTTCCTTTATTTTTATTAGAATTTGTTGCCAATTTTATTACTCCATCCAAAAAAGTAAAAATAAAAAGGTGAGTTTTTGGTAATCTAACTTTTTAATAGGATGAGGTTGTGAATGAGTTACCAAATCTATCCATAGTGAGTCCACATAATGTGATGGCTTATCCTCAATAAAATATAAATCTTTTCAAATATTCTTATCCCAATGAAATATAAATCTTTTCAAATATTATTATATTACTAATGGAAATGAGGAGCATTTGAAACACAAATACACATGTTCACTCTGCCGTTCGCAAAGCTACCATTCAACTAACTTTTTTCAAAATCTAGATGTTGAATGCTTTGTTGAACAACTAATTTAAAATTTACGACCATATACATTTGAAAAAAATAAGTGTAACATTCTTAGCTTTTTTTTTTATATAAAAAATAATGTCTCAATCATTGCAATTTATTTTTCTGAATAACCCTAATATTAGGTTAAATATAATGAAGCTAAAACTAAATATGTTTACAAAAGAACAATGAAACAAACTTTGAATTAACAGAGCTTAGGCAAGAGAACTCTAAAATTTTTATGTACATTGAATTGTATATTCTGGATCAATACACATAAGTAAATGTATTAATTTTGTGTCAGTTATATCTCACTTTTTATTTATGAGATTGCGCACTTGGCATACTCTTGAACATTAAAGTTAAAATAGAAAAATGACAAATTTAGTGTCCGAATCTCCTATCATTATAGGATCTGAAAAGGGTCTTATGTGACCCATCTTGCTCAACATGCCAAAAGGCCCATGCGCATGTGCCAGGACAAAGCGAGACGCAAAATATAGGGCTGGCCTCATAGGATGGAATTCTTTTTTGGATGCCAAGCAAATAATATTTATAAGTAAAGTATTTGCATTGGGCTTCAGCCTGTTGCTCAACAGGCTATTTCATAAGGAACCATGGCCCAATAGGCCCAAACAAGCATCTTGCATAAGAGGTGGTTTATGTCCTAAGGCTAAGAGACATACCAGCTGAAGAGGATGGTGGTAGACCCATCTATTGACATGTTACCCGAGAAAATAAAATAATTAAATAAATAAAATTTGGTCTGCTTAATAGTGTTTCATATTGAAAAAAACAAAATGGTGTTTCATATGGTCCAAGTACAAAATCCAAAATGAATAGTGGTAGGCCATATGTTAGATTTGATAGCGTATGATACAATAGCAGAGAAATAATAATAGAAATGGTTTAGAGTATGAGAGTCGAATAAATTTAAAAGAACCCAGTGTAATTGGGAACGTGTCCTTTCGAATTATCCAATAGTCGCAGCAATATAGTTAAAAAGTGGTCTATGGCCACTTTTATTTCTATTAAACAGTTTTTACACATGCTAGATGGTTGAGTACCCCTAAAGAAAGTGTACGTAGGTGCAAAATATACAAATCAAGAGCCATACATGTGTGTTCATTATGTCCATGCCATACAAGTGAGCAGAATTAACATGGTGGCATTGATATATTTTCTCATACCTCCTTTATTTTTCTTTCTTTTATCTTTACCAATTTCAAAATTTTGAGCGGGACCTTGAAAGTTAAGATTCAAAATCAATAGGAAAGGATAAGATATTTGGTGCACAACATGCGCTCGTGCATGCACCGTACAACGGCTCATCTGAGCCGTATGCTCACAATATGCGTTCGTGCATGTACAACACATACAGTTTGGATGAGCTTGGTACACGGTGCGCCAAGTGCACCGAATATTTTCTCCTAAGACATGGTAGACCAATATATTCCTTTATTTTTATTAGAATTTGTTGCCAATTTTATTACTCCATCCCAAAAAAAAATAATAAAAAGGTCTGTTTTTGGTAATCTAACTATTTTAATAGGGTGAGATAGTGAATGAATTATCAAATCTATCCACAGTGAGTCCACATAATGTGAGGGTTTACCTTTATTTATTTATTTATTTTTAAATTCAACACAAAAATATTAAATTAGTAATGTTACAAAAAAATAAAAAAAAATTTGACAATCTCCACAGAATTTGCTTCCCAGTCAATACTTTCCTCTCTTTCATGTAATTTGGTATTTGAGAAAGCATAACAAGAATGGCCATGACAAAAGTCACCCAAAAACCATGGACTGTTTAGATATGTCCAATCTTTTTCTACACCTGAATTTCAAAGTTAAATTGAAGTTCTTACAAAATTTTACATTACATGAATACATAGGTGGTACATATAACAACTTAGAACAAAAAATGCACCATAAGTTGGAAATTAAGCTCTTTTACACTAGAAATTTAATTAATTATATATCGAAAAGTGACATATAACTAAAGAGGAAAATAATGAATCCATCTATGGAACATGTCATAGCATGCCTTTCGGTTCCACTCTGGAGGGGAATGACCAGCACCCTATATAATCACACAAATAAATTATAGATATTTAGTTCTAATTTTCAAATGATTGAAGGGGAATATTAAATATATATATTAAGCAGAGAGACAAGTATTTCTTGCCTTTATAGTTGCATACGTGAATCGATATCCATCATTAGTGTACTTTCTTGTGTATCTGCACAAATTATATGCAATAGTGTCACTACATTATGATTTTGCAATTGATTTTTTTATTTTATTTTTATAAATAGTTTAATTGGACATATATTAATCATACACCAAAGAGAGATAAATTATGACCTGTCGGGTTTAGTTTTCTGAAAATAATCAATTTTGAAAAAATTAATAGACATGTTTGGTTTGTAATTTTAAAAATAGTTCTCAAAAATTCAAAAAATTGAAAATTGTTCGAACAATCTTATATTATTATATGAAGGAAAAAAAAATACATTTTTATAACTAAGTTTTCAGAAAACTGAACCACATAGAGTGTTTGTAAAGTTTTCAGTATTTTGAAAGTAGAAATTGTTTCTATAATTTCAAACCGCCTGATATTTTCCTTAAAGTTTTTAGTATTCTTGAGAACTGTTGCCATAAAACTGAACCAAACAGGCCTTATGAACTCACCCTGCAACTTGGCCTTCAACGAACCATGGTCGCCAATCACTATCAATCGTCAAATGGAGAGACGTAATCCATTCTTCAATCCCATTATGTGGCATAACCATGTCATGATCACCACTGTTGGAATTTAAAATTTGCATTAGTCAGTCATGTACATTTAACATTAATTTATTTGAATATTTTCGCACATTTGTGTTGTTAGTAGTTAAAGCTAGATCAGATGTGAGAAATTATTGTTCACCTGAAAGTCAGAACTTGCAAGCCAGTGTTTGTGAGGTTTCGATGATAACCAACAACACTATCGATATCTTCTGTGTATGATTCACTTATTATGGTGACATTGCATCTAAACCATTCTTTTGTTGTATTCTAGTCACAATCAAAAAAACAACTCACTATAAGTATACACAAACACACACACCTAAAATCTTTATGTCGATCATCAGCCCCAAGTTCATGGACTCAAAATCCTCTCCGGTCACAATTTCTTGCATTCGGTGCTATTGGTGAATTTCGCTACTATAATAATAAAATTTTACCTGTTTGAATTTCACTACGATTTGCTTACATGTGAAATTTTATCATTATAGTAACGAAATTTATCACTGATAGTAATGAGATTCACTAACTGTATGGAACTGTAGAAAAATTTTACCGGAGAGGATTATGGTTCGAATTTACTTACCGGTCGAACATGAAGAGCTTCTTGGACAGATTTATAATTTGTCCATATATCAGAAAGCATGTAGTGGAAATTCTGCCCAGAATAAATAGAGAAAAACATTAGCTACAGTTCATCAACTTAATACAAAACATAAAAACGCGAGAACACAGACAGACACACACAGAGATAGGGATTTACATGGCATGAAAGATCAGGTTCAGACAAAGAAAGTAGAGAATTTCTCGAGTTCTCAATGAGAGACCTTCCATTGTTTTCTGCATCTGTTTCCGGAGACAAGAATTCACAAACTGGTGCTAAAACATTTTGTCGACTTACTTGACCAATGCACTGCAATTAAATTCAATTAGGCCACTCAAAAAAAAAAAAAAAAAAGAGTATATTTAATGTATATATATATATAGATATATATATCAAATTTAGAGTCCATCTAACCAATGTTATAGCTTCAACTGCCTCAAGACACTCAGCATTCGCAGGATCAATATCGGCATAACTCCCATTGCAACTTGTTTTGGCTGACTGAAAAAAAAAAAAAAAAAAAAAATCCCATTATTTGGATAACTCCTACTACAAATTAATGACATTTATATGTAACGAAATTCGAAAATGTTGTATCACCTTATAGAGTGCATCGGATATAAGGGCCATCCGATGTGCATATGGTATTCTCGAATTTGTTTCGATTTCTGTATCTGCGTGAGGGCAGCTGATGATGTAACCCTAGTAAACCATTTCAAACAATGTCAAAATTCAAATGCATTTCCTTTTTATAAAAATCAACTCGAGCTAGTGTTGTGATTTGATCATTTTACTTTGAGATTAATTTGCGGTTCAATTCCAGCTTCATTTTCTGCATTGCCAACGCCAAACAAGATCTCGATTAATTAGAATTAATCGATAATTATCGACAATTATTTGTATATTGAATAAGGCATTATTGAAAGATACCATCTACTATTGCTTGAGCGATTATGGGAACAATTAAGCCTGCATATGAATCACTAACAACGTAGAATGGATTTTCGACGAAATTTGGGTAGTCAGTCAACCACTGTATCACAAGCACAACTCAAAAATGTTAGTAATTAATTAAGAAATTAAACATATAGATAATAATTTATGAATTCCCGAAAATCGTTGATATCGTGTCTTAGTTTCACACACATTTCTCATAAAACTTAGGGTTTGTGTTGCTGATAATGAGTCTGAGGTAGTATAAGTTTCTGCATTTGTTGCGTAGGTGAAACCAGTGCCAACTGGTGCATCTAGGAATATTATGTTGGCAGTCTGGAAAATCATCAAAAGTACTAGTATTAGGTAACAAGACATAACATAATTAATCTAACCATGAACATGGTGAAAGAGAGTTCAAATTGTTAACCAAAGCGACAAATATGAAACTTTTTGTACCTTGGTCCATGAGTATGGGTAGTATAGTAATTGTGGTATGCCCCCAGTGTATGTCATGTTGAATTCTAATGGTCCTACACAAAAATATCAAAGCCCGTATATGATAAGTAAAATAATTTCCTCACAAAAATAATACATCTTTCGAATTTTTTTCCAAAATCAGAAGATGTAAAAGGGAATGACGTTAGTAAAGGTGTGAGCCCCATTACATAACATCACACAAATGTTATACAGTGAGACTTATACTCTACTATAATTCTCATTTGACATCCTCTGAATATCGATCTATGCCAAAGTTACCTTAGAAGAAGGAGGCCTTAAGCACTAAGTTAGCAAGTAATAAATATGTAACAGTAAGTAAGCTAGAAATTTTTTGAGAGCCACTGATTGCGCTATGTATGTATCTTCTCATATTTCAGAGTATGGGTAGTATAGTAATTGTACTATGCCCCTACCTATCTCTCAGCTTATTTTGTTTTGCCCTTTCATTAATTGTGGTCCTCAATTCCTGATGCTCTGTACTACGGGTTACAGTACCAGGATGGTGCAAATTGTCTCTTTGCTAGATTAAGTAAGTGAACAGCAGATGGCGACGATCTCGGTGGAGCCAATTCAGTCGAATCTACAGTACTAAAGAACCAAAATCACAGTTAAGTGGGTGATGAATTGACCAAAACTGGACCTTTATCTGTGTTTGGTAAAGGTCTACGTCGAGATTAAATTGAAGTCGAGTCTATCAAACGACGCATGTAAAATAATTTATTTAAAATTTATGGATAAATATTTTTTGTTAACTTTTAATATTTTTTTTTTTTATAAATATTTTACGACAACCAAACACCAGAACATAAAAAAATATTTTTTAAAAAATATTATAGTCCAAATAAACGCAGCCTAAGTTAGACTAGTTATTATTTAAACTCATAATGTAATAGTATTAAGTAACTAAAACTTAAAAGGAACACAAAAATAAAAAATAAAAATAAAAAAATTATATAACAATTCTTGAATAAATCTATAATTACGGAATTTTATTTCTGTCTAGTAAGAGCATAAATACAAAATTTATTAATGTATAACTTAATTGCATTTATAACTCGAAGGCAATAAAAAACTGAGACAATTATTTTGAAACAGTCAAAACTAGAGAGAGAAACATGGTACTGTTACTACGTACCAGCTTGAAAGAAAAGACCGTTCAACCCAGAGCAACCTGGTCCTCCATTGAGATAAAGAATCAGAGGGTCAGTTGCAGAGTTACCCGATAATGACTCCACAAAATAGAAGAAGAACTCGATTTCTCCCACACTCACATACCTGAAAGAAATACTACGTATTATTTACTGTGATTATATATAATAATTATACAGGGTACGTACTAGGCCACATTTGATGTTCACAATATTTTGTATAATAAATTATTATATTAAATGTTATTTATGTTTTTATTAAAAATATTCCATACCATTAAATATCCTACACAATTAGTTAATTAACTTTTCTTTTCTTTATTTTAAGAAACTTACATTTTTTTTTTCCATACCATTAAATATCATAGACAATTTATTAAAAGAAACATGAATAAAATTAATCAAAAAAGATTTATAAAATGGAAATTAAATAAAGATTGCTTAAAAAGTATTGATTATAATCAAAACTCAAATTTCAAGATTGATCTATGTTATATACTCAGCTTAATAAAATATTTTGAATTTGTTCATCAACTAATTTAGAATTAAGAGAATACTATTGGCTTCACAATTTTTTTTAGAAATGTCCTTCAAAATAACTCTTAATATATTATTATATATCCATCCACATGTTCTCAGTGTTTTTTTTTTGGATGCCAAAATATTTATAATATCATTGCAAATCCTAAGTTTTTTTAAGGTCCTAAATTTATAATATTCTAATGGAGAATTATGTTCTCTATTTATTTAAAATCATTTAGTATATGTTTTCATAATTTATCAATAGAATTGATAAAGTGTGGAAAGAAACTAAAAATGATGACTTTTAATTTTAGATAAATTTTGACTGCTTGTGAGTTTGGCAAAAAGTAACCAAATTATTTTATTCTTATTTCTTTTACTAAATTGTCTAGTTCTGTGATTTTTCGTTAAGGATATTTAATGGTATAGAAAGAAAATATAAGTTTCTTAAAATAAAAGAAAAATATGATTAATATAAGTTTCTTAAAATAAAAGAAAATATAAGTTGCACCTGGACGGTGAGTTATACTGCCAACCATAATATATATATATATATATATATATATATATATATATATATATTTGGTACCAGAATTTCTAAGTTTTTTAAAGGCTGCTCATATACTTTTGATATAATTATCTGCCCCTCACCATTGTAGTAGCTCTGTTCAATGATATCTTAAGCAAAGCTACCAATAATATATATATATATATGGTGTAAGTGCACTAACCTGTTTTTCTGTTATATATATATATATAAAGAAGTAGAAGAAAATAAGAATAAAAAGACAGAAAAACAGGTTAGTGCACTTACACCATGCATTGAGTGTAAAAAGAATAAATTTCAAGAAATAAAAAATAAAATAAATAAAGAAAAATGGCACAACATACTTTGAACAGAAAAATAAAAAAATAAAAAAAATTTGATTGAAGAATGGAAATACAATAGTTTTTGAAAGAAACTAAAGAAATTTGAAGAAAAAAAGACATTTAAAATATTTCACGAAGATAGATGCATAAAAGTAAAATATATATATATATATATTGAAGAACAGTGTTCTCTGCCGATTCTGGCACCGTCATTGCACTCACCCGGTTTCGAGTTTGAACGGTAATCCGCCGGAAAAGCCCGGCAGAGACCTGACGAGGGAGCTAGAGGCAGCATTTCTTGAGAGTGCAAGCAGAAGGAGAAAATGCAGACACATGCATTTGCTTGAAATTGAATTCATTGTTGTTTACACAAATCTAATATATTTAATTATTCCAAATATAGTAAGAAAATGAAATAGTTTTGAAGGAGATATGTGGCCGGTGTTACACAAAGCATATTTGATATATATATATATAGCTGAAAATAGAAATACCATGCATATCCCTGTTCCCAACCATACTTTCCCACTTACTGGTCCAACTTAAATATTGCCACACTTTATTGAATGGATGTTGAGTCTCTCGCTGTTTGAGGTTCATGCATCAGAAGTACAAAACTTAATTGTCAAAAATAAATGCAAATAAGCTTTCTTAAATAATTATATTTTATAGAAAAGAAAATAATGTACAACTTATATTCTTACCTTGCGAATATTAAAATGATGTCACTGTAAATAAGAAAGAAAAAAAACCTGTTTAAATATATAAAATAATAAGAGAATCGAACTAAATAACCGAATAAAAAGTCGAACTTAACGTGTCTCAGCCACGTCAAATTATTTTTTAAAAAACAGAGCTCCAATCTCTTCCCATCTCTCTCCCCTTTTCCTCTAATTCTCGATTTTTCTTTTGTATTCAATTTTATCTTTGATTTTGGTTTTCTCTCTCTCTTTGATTTTGCAAAATTGAAGATAAAAAAATAATAATAATAAATTAAAAAAAAATTAAATTTCTCCATGTTTTGCAATACATAAGCACAAAACCAAAACAGAACAAAAAGTAAAAGAAAAAGAAAATAAAAGCTACAACTGTAATTTCTCTCCTTCA